TATTGGTTGTCAATTCAGGAGTGAATTGTAAAGGAACAGGTGTTCTAGAAACTTCTGTTTCCGCTACCTGGCATTGGTGGTACATCCCTGTATGGTCTTGTCTCCCAGAAAGGGGCACTGGCTCCTCAGCAGCAGCTCAGTGGTATTAACTTCTCGAGAAGAGTAAGTAGCCCAGGATCCAAGTAGTAGGTCTTATTGCTTCATAGGATTGATTGTGTGGAAAGAGAATGAAGGAAAGCAAGATGAGAGAAGGGGTGACCTGCTTTGCTCTTGGCCCAAGACAGGTCCGTTGTGCAATGTCTAGGACAATCCCCACACTCTTGATCTGGATCCTGTCTGTGTCCTGTACCTGAAGTCACACTCACATTCTCTACAACAGGGCTTTGGAATCTAAGCTCCGCATTGTTCCAGTTTACCAGGAAATATTATTTATCCTGTACATAGGCCAACTGTCTGTCTCTCTTCAGGCAGCTGGTTTCCCAACCCATCTCTTGGGTGACCTGCTTCCTGTGCACACAATATACTTCCCTCAAAAAAAATTCACCAACCCTATGGAGCCAACCATTCATTCATAAAAGCAAGAGAAAGAGAAGAGAGGTAGCAGCAAACCAGGTCAGAGTCAGAAGACAAAGATAAGACAGAAGGCTTGTGGAGTTTGTAACTGAGACATGGCATGCATTAGGTATGAACTAAGTACCAGATTACATTCTAAAATCTAAACAGAATAACAATGGAGAGTTCTTGATTCCTAAAGACATAATAGTGTCTTAGAAACAGTTTTATTATACATTATTTTTTCTACTTTAGAAGTAAAATCATTTTATTATTTTTGTGGTTTTTGGGTGGTACCAGGGATCAATCTCACAACCTCGCATTGCCAGGCCGCTGAGCTTATGCCGCTGAGCTAAATTCCTGGTCCTTTTTTTATTTTGGGGGGTGTAAAATCATATTTTTTAGGTGCTTAGTATTTTTATTCTATTGGATAGTGTAGTGAACTACAGAGAATTAATGCATAGCCACAAAGGGAATATGTTACTGTCTCTACTTACTTTTTGATAAAGATCAGTGTTTTGTAATTATTTTGTGGTTGTTGTTACTGCTGTATCTCAACACACAGTCCATTCATTGTGAATATGATTCATTTCTTCATTCAGTATCATTAGCTAGGGCTACCAAATTGTTCCCGTAATTCAGGCTATTGTTCTCCTGGGATCAATACCATTCTATCTCCTTCAAAGCCTGACTTAACCTGTCCAATTCAATCCTACATAGTCAGGATAATTCTAATTTATATGGTAGATTGCTGTTCTTACCCAAAATGGAAAAAACATTATCACATATCAGCCAAAGGGATGGTCTTACACATTTGAATAAAAAAGGGATACTGGCATAGGTGTGTTCTACTTAACAGCTATTTAACAGCTAAAACATTACCAATAGTAATATATATACATACTCTTCTTTGTTCTACCTGTTCTTCAAAGTTAGATGTCTGAACACTTCACTTATGAATGCTGGTTTAGTGCTAAATCAAGGCAAATCATTATTTCCAACATTTTGTTATCATATTTTAAAGTAATTATTTACTTTACTGGGATGGAAACTGGCCGCACCCTCTTGTTCTTTGGCTCCAGGATTAATACAGCATTGATAAATAATATTTATCCAGGACTTTCTCACTGAAAAAGTAGGCACGCCTTAGCAATACCATTTCCTCTCAGGGACCTGGCCAAAGCATGTCAAAGTGTGTATCTGTCCACTTGGCTAAGATGATGAATGCGAACGAGAAACATGCCATTGAGATTAAGGCGCCCAACCCAGCGCTGTATGGAAACCTAGCCTCAATATTTGTTGTGTGCAAACATGTGCCAGGGTTCCTTGTGCAAGAGCTGGGGTTTCTGCGCTGGAAGTCAATTTCAAAAGGCCGTCGTCACCTGTTTCAAAACAATACCAAGAGTTCACAGCTGAGTTTTGAAATCTTTCAGCACACACTTCGAGATGAGGTCTGAGGATTTTAAGAAGGGAGTAAGAGAACAGATATGCACCAATCAAGAGATCCTACTTCTCGTTTAAAATCTAGAAGAAAGACTGCTGCATAGGGTTCCGCGGGTGCACTGATGGTAGAACTACTCTAACCCAAGTGGGTGGCAGAGGTGCAGGTATGGCTGTTGCTGGGGACAGGCCTGTGTCTTAAACAGGAGAGGGATCATCCCACCAGCGCGGCTTTGGACAAACACTGCCCTCTATCGGCAGAGGGCAATTGCTACATACAGTAACTTTTGAGATGTAAACAAAATAAAAGCATTAAGCCTGTGTGTCTAGGGACTACACGTATTTTCAAGTAAGTTGAAGGGCTTCATGATAAATCTTCACACCTTATTGGAAAGTTTCAATTTTTGCCCATTTTTTTTAAGAGTAGGAAAATTGGAGAAAAGGAATGGGGAATAGGAATGGGAAATAGCTCCTGAGAGACAGAACAGGTCCTGAACTGGTTGCCAATGAGCCCATCTCTGATGTTTTGTTGTTTCAAAGGAAGTTATTTAGAGCGAAATCATGAGGCAGGTACAATGTGGATCAAAATTATGATCAATAAGATTGCACGTATAGTCGCTTAGGTAATAGTGATCTAATAATGGTATAATAATAGTGATCTAATAAAGGATGCATGGGTGACATCATTAACCTTGGGCAATAATCTGTAGTCTTAGCCTTGTCTCTGGATTTAGTAGTCTTGGCAGTGGGAGAATGGTCCACCCCTATGAGACAAGGGGAAACCTCAAACTCATCCCTTAGGGAAGTCTGCAAAACTAGCCATTGTGACTTTAATCTTCAGATGTATCTCCAGCAACAGTACTGATGGATTCTTATGTTTTGCACTGACTCCCTTGAGAGCCCAGTCCTGTCTGCCTAAGATTTATTTATTTATTTTTGTCTTTTTCGTTTTTACCAGTACTGGGGATCGAACTCACGACTACCTGCTTGCAAGGCAGGCACTTATGCCACTGAGCTAAATCCCCAGCCCCCATGCCTAAGATTTATTTCTACCTCATTTAGCTGTGATATTCTCCCTTGAAGAGGTATCCCTAACCACAGTTAGGGGAAAAGGGTCATAGCTCCCTAAGGGTCAGTGTAGCAAATTTTCCCCATTCTTTAGCAGGCCTGAGATGGAACCCATAGCAATGAAGTTAGGCAAGCACTCTACCACCAAGCTCCACCCCCAGCTCTTCCAATAAACCCTTAAAGTAAATCAAGGTCCAGTGACCAGTGTCACTGAAGATGCCAAAGAACAGAAAAAGGTGGCACACCTACCTGATTTAAACCCTAGCTCTGCACACTAACCTCACTGGTGTCATGTTAGACTTCATCTTACTTGGACTTTTTTTTTTTTTGTCTTTTTCCTTTTTATCGGTACTGGAGATCGAACTCACAACTGCCTGCTTGCAAGGCAGGTGCTTATGCCGCTGAGCTAAATCCCCAGCCCCCAACTTTTTTTTTCTACAGTGTTAGAGAAACAGCAGACATCTGGTCAGTCTCACAATTATGAAAACTGAGGCAATACATAAACTGTAAACTGCAAAGCATTGTGTAACTGTGATGGTCACTACTGTATATTTGTGCTCATGGACTAGTCTAGGTAGCTCCTAATGTTTTCCCTGCATGTATCTGTCTAGTGATTTGATGAACTTTGAACTCTATACACAATATTTATCTCTAGCACTGTACAGAATCAGGAAATCTGATGTCAACTATAGTACACCCACTAAAAAACAGTGGATGGATGGTTAAAACATTCTGAGGTCAACTCTGACCTGGGGCAAACAACTCCATTAAGAAAAAACGTTAGCAACCAGGGATGATGGAACACGCCAGTAATCCTACCACTTGGGAGGCCAAGGCAGGAGGATCGCTGTGAGTTTGAGGCCAGCCTGGGCTACATAGCAAGTTCAAGGTCAACATGAACTACATAGCAAGACCATCTTTAAAAAAAAAAAAAAGGTAGGTCAGCATACATAGAACATTCATTTTCAAGTAAGGTTAGTTTGCATGCAGATTATACTAGTTGGCTGACAAGACAAGTATCTAAGGGGAAAATCTGGGAAGAATAAAAGCCCAAATAGTTCATCTCAGTTCTAAAGAGGGATCCCTAGGGGGCTGGGGATTTAGCTCAGCGGCATAAGCACCTGCCTTGCAAGCAGGTGGTCGTGAGTTGGATCTCCAGTACTGATAAAAATGAAAAAGACAAAAGAGGGATCTCTACTTGTTCCCCACCCAGGAAGTAACTATTAACTTTTATTCTAAATTGTAAGAGGGTTTAATATGCTTCTAATGGGTATTTGACGAGTGCAAATGTGTTTTTGTAAGCATAAACATTATCTTCCACATCAACCCAGCAGTCAGTAGGGTTGTAGCTCAGGATTGTAATTTGAGGCCAGCCTGAGCTACACTGAGACCCTATCTCAAAACCAAACAAAAACGCAAGTCATATCTACAATTGTAATGGACTTTACCCTCCACCACACTAACTTAGGAAATGAACATGGAGAAAATGCTGATTAGACATCCTCATACACCCTGTCTAGTCCTTGTAATAAGAACTAGTGTACTGCTTTTTGTGTTGTTGTAGTGTGTGTGCGCAATACTGGGGACTGGACCCAGAGCTTTCACATTAAGCTACATTCCTAGCCCTTAAGAAAAAATTTTGTGGGGGAAAACAAGGCCTAACTCACTGTTCCCCAGTTGTACTTATGATCCTGCTGCCTCAGCCTCTCCGAGTGCTGAAATTTCTGTCTCAAGTCCATGCTCTTAGGCACTGCTTGACAAAAGCTTTGCTTTCTCAGTAAGATTCTTTTCCAACACCAGGGCAGTCCCTTGTGGTCTCTAAATTAGCTGGGAAAACACCGTCCTCGAATCAGGATGGACTGGGAGCTGATGTACTTATAGTTTATCAGCTGTGTCTGTGTATGGCTTCAAAGTGTTACAAAAAGTACACAAAGCACACATTTGGGTTATAAAAGCCCTTTTATAAAGCCATTTTTAAACAAAACAGAAAAAAAGTTTACAAAAGAAAAAAAAAGATACAGAAAAAGAATAACTTGCTTCATATGTCCCAAAAAGAGAAAAATAAAGGGGACAATGCCAACATGCTCAACGATAAGGGGTTCTTTTTCTTATTTTTTAATACAAAATACAAGCAAAGGATACACATACTTAAAACGAAGCTCAGGAGCAGACACGCAGTCCTGGAAACCCTTCAATAAAAGTAAAGCAGGTGTTTGTTTTTTGTCTATGCAGATACATACAGAGACTGGGATATGTAAAAATTAAGTATCACAAAAGACCATCACACGATTCTACCAATGCATGTTGCATCTATAATTCACGAACATGGTCAACAAAATCATGTTCACTTCAACCCTATTTCATTTAAATTAAAGAAAAAACCTTTTAAATAAAGTGGTTACATTCAAACTTTAACTTCCTTAGTACCATGCTGCAGATTCAGCACTATTAAGGTATTGCAAGAATGCCCAACCCTCTGGTGTCTGATCATGTATCTAGCGACGCTGTAAAGAAAAGGACGCCCAGTCTCAGCCCATGGACTAATTCATATGTTTAAGCAGGTTCCTCCTTTACCCTTCCTGCTCAGAACATAAAAGATTAAGGACTAAAATCAAGGAGAACTAGGAGTTTTTGAGCTGGCAAAATGAAAAGTCTAAAACACAAATCAAGGCAAACGATCACGGAGAATTTGGCTGCTGCTTACCCTAGCAAGTCTTAGCCTCTCCTCAAGCCTTGCAGGAATTAGGTGTATAAGGTTTGTTGCAACACGTTCATGGTAAACAAACTAAGTAGAGCTCTTATTTACAAATCTTGTAACAAATACTTCTGGAGGAAAAAAAGAAAAGAATTCACTAATTTCCAGAAGACAAAGATTTAATTTGCTAGACGTATACAAACACACACTCATACACACACCCACACAATACTTCAGGGGTTTTTATACATGTTATTTTAGGGCATAAGCTGAGTACGATACTCCCACACCCCATCAAAAAAGGAGCAAAAAAAAAAAAAAAAAAAAAAAAAAATCCCTGTTCCACCCCCACCCCATAATCTAGAAAACCCTCCCTCAACCCTGATGTACAAAGTGTCTGCACAGCGGCGGCCTTCCACCAGCCACATAAAGCATGCTCTGACAGATGTCACCCATCAGTCACTCCATTGGCATGGCAACAGGCAGGTATTTGGGATTTTTCCCAATAGTGGTTATTACAGTCAGCACCACTGTGAGTTTCATGAATTAGGCTTTGAAGTATAAATTGCAGATCTGATATTCAAAAAGAATCATTTATGAGTTTATCCAAGACAAAGGGAAAATGAGGTGAGACTGAAATCTAGCGATAAGATAGCTTGGTGTCCCAATATGCAAACAATAAACCAACTGTATTTCCACATAGATTCAGCTTCATCCAGAGAGAACAGGACCCTCAAGAGCAACCAGTTTGTTTTTTCCACTCTTTGGCAGGAGATGTTAAGTATCTCAGTATAAACTCCATAAAGACCACGGCCCAAGTTTCTTCCTTTCCGAAATCTCCCAGGGAAGTTTTTCTTTTTCAGGGTTCCTACTGCTGATATAGGCAAAGAATGAACAGTTCAAACTGGCATTTGCTTACTACAAGAGCTACATGGCTACATGATCAAAAGAAAGTCTTCCCCATTGCTCCTGTTATTACATTCTGCTCTTGCCTTTCTAACTCTCAAAACAGCATCTCTTAAAACTAGTTTTTTTTTTAAAAAGCACTATTCCATTCCCACCAGAACTCTTAAAACCCACTTGTTATTTGAATGCTCACTGATACAAACTGTTTTTTAGTATCAAGTTCACTTTAACTGACCATATTCATGAATATCAAAAAGCTTATTAGATTGTAATCTCAATTTCCATCTTGACTTATTACCTGTAAGAAAATGGTGTCTGAACCAGTTCCCAGTACTAAATTTCAGAATTAAACTGGGGCAAATCAGTTACTGTGGAAAAAAAAAAAATCATTACCCAAAGCTCCTTCAAGAGAATACAACTACTGTACTATTCTTCAGGATCAAGATTTCCACTCATCTCCTCAGGAAACAAGGAAACACCCAATATTCTTCCTTCATGGAATCAATATGAAGTGGAGCTATGAAAGGTTTAGAAAGCAGGGCACATCTTCCATCACTGAGATTAAAATTTACTCTTGGGTCCACTCCCAATTCCACTTGAGGTGAGAACGGCTAAAAGCATCGGCAAGTTACCAACAAGAAAGACAGGAACTACCCATTTCTAGCTGGAGGAGAGCACAAAAGAACTTTAAGAATTAAAATAGAATGTAGTGTCAGTCAGCATAGCTGCCAAAATCTGTTACAGAGGTAAACCTAGGGGAGCTTAGACTTCAGATACAAACAAGCACCTTCAAGGTCAATGTCCTACTTCCTGAGCATTGCAAAGTAAGGCAGTGAATGCTACTGCCACTTCACCATGGGCACACTAGAAAGAAGAGCAGGTTTGGCCAAGGGGAAGTGATAATGGCCAGCCACTACCCGCTTCAGCTGTAAAGCATCCAAACTCCGTTTTCAAGCCTATCAAACTGTTTCCAGTTGAGTTTCTGTCCTCTTACTTGCATGCAGGATTTGAGGGAAGACTAGAGCAGCTTAAATGAAGTGGAAAAAGCAAGTCTTTCAAAGCCTATCTCACTTAGGGACACAGGTCCTTCTGCCCAGCCTATCAGAAATAGAGAATACAGCTTCTGATCTAATGAATTAGTTTTAAGAGTTTCTAAAGAAACCAAATCAAATCACACAGCCCAGAAGACATGATTACCTTAATGTGCATATGTCACAGAGATGTTAGTGCACTCATGTTTTAAAGAGACTGTTGCAACACAAAAACAAGGCTAAGGTTTAAAAAGAGCCTCTCTACGATCTGCATAAAACATACCTAAGAAAAGCGCAAATGATACTAGGAATGTAAGACAAAACAGAAGTGCACGGTGGGAACACTGACAGGTCTTTTACTCTATGAACACAAATCTTCTTTTGTTAAAATTGGACACCTAAACTGAAGCAAACAGAACAATCCTTAACGCCCTCATTACAATGCTCATGACTATAAATTTAAACATCATGTAAGGTAATAAACCAATGGTACTTCTATTCAAGCGCTGTATTTTTGGCCATGTGCTAAACACTCTTTGTTAACATACAGTGCAACAAGGAAATTACTCTGACACTGGTGTTTTTTACAAAATCAGAGTTAAGAATATTCCTTAAAGTGTAGAGTAAACATATTTAAATAACGCTTTGTCAAAGAACAAAAAATAAAACCCTTTGTCCTGGGAATACCTGCAGGAAAGCCACACTGTCTGAGGAAAACATACTGCTGCCACTTAAAAGACAAAAAGAAAACCACAAAAATAGACTATTGAGGAAGCAATTCTAGATTAAAAGGCAGAAAGAAAAAAAGCAAAGTTAAATTTCTCTAACTTTCCAATTTATTAACCTACTAGGACCCTTGAACTTTGCTCCTACTAGTGCACAGTATGAGGCTGTGGAAGCTCAAACCTATGGACCTATCTCCTGACTCACTCTCCTAAGGCATGGGAAAATCCTGTTACCATCGGCACACGGGCCTCCAAAAAACACAAAGGGTTATCTAGTCCAGTTGAGTCTCAGCCTCCCGCTCTAAGAAACATGAGCAATAAGTGGGGGTCAGAACAAAACAGTAACATGAAAGGGGCACATAATAAACCTCCCTCCTGTCAGTATGTGCACAGAGCCCGGAAGTGTTGCCAGGCACTGGGTCGGGAGTGCAGCGGTGCTCTATGCAGCAGCAGGAAGCGGACAGATGTATCTCATAGCACGTTTCTACAAAGACCCCGGGAAGATCTGGGTGTAAAGAGGAAAATGTTCTATCCCCAAATAAAAACAGCATGGCCCATGGGATCTGAATGCACATGTATAGCATAAAAGAATTTCAATTCTGTTTTCATAAAGGAAGTATCTCAATCCTTTGTGACTGAGTTTCACATTAGCCAGAACTTTTGTGTAAAACCTAAACACTGTCAGCTTGAAAAGAAACCCACTGTGCTGTGTAGATCCACCATGCCATTTAAGTTCTAGAATTTTTTTTTTCTCTTTCTCTTATCCTTAGGAAATTTTATCCAAAAAACAGGATACATATTTTTAAAACATGACCTATTAGAATTTAAAGTATGAAATCAAGAGTGATTTCAGTTTTGGCAGCCCCTGTATTTTCTAAGGTCATTAAAGACTAGCAGGAAAACAGGATCACGGGCTCCAAGTCTCTTTGAGATAAATGACGAAATAAAAATGAAAACCCACACCCCCAAACAAGGCCGGGTATCCCCACCATTCCATACCTACCCACTAAGGTAAAAAATATGAGTACTTTTAGTAATAATTCAGAATTCACCTTTATCTCCTACTGGACTCATCAGTGGAAGTTTAGAGTCATGATTTCTTTTAGATATTTATACTTATGTATATAGATATATAAACTTGTATTAGATGACAATTGATTTTTTAGAAGTCCAGGCAGAGAAAGAAGCAATTATTTTTAACTAAAATCTGTCTATGTTTTTTGATTACTATTCAACTTGCTGTATCATTTTAGCCAAAAGCAAAGTTCCCATAGTCTCCATCTCAGATCATATTGCTTCACATATGTGGTGCATCTTCCATTACAAAGAAAAAGATGGAGCAGTCAGTCCAGTGATTAATCTGACATGGCTTTCATTGGGAAACAGGTGGTGGCAAAGAGAGGACCAATAGACACAAAAAAAGAAACTTAAAACACTTCCATATACAATGGTTTTCTGGAGAAAGAGAGGAAGTGCAAAAGAGAGGGAAAAGAGGGAGAGAGGGGAAGAGAGAAAAATTATTTTCAACAAATGGAAAAAAGCACTGAAAGCCCATAAGTCAAGCCATAGCCAAAACCATGTTCTATCTTAAGTAGGCTCTCTTTTTCCCCTCTTTTTTCTTCTTCTTTTTTTTTTTTTTTTGTTTTTGTTTTTTTAATAAAATCTCTCCCCAAACCATGAGCACTTCTAATCCTCCCCAGACTGGGCTTCGTCCTCCGACCCTTCATCTCCAGACTTCTCAGGTGGGGGGCTTGCTGATGCCTTTTTCTCTGCAGGGCTTTCGGGTTCCTCATCTTCTTCTTTGGGAGAAGGAGTCTTTTCCTTTGATGCCTTGGAAGCAGTGGGGCGACCCACTTTCCCTTTGCCTTTCACAGGACTTGGCGTCACTGAAAGAAAAATAACCATTAGGAGAAGAGAATGTCTTTAATAGAAATCAGCTATGAACAACAGAATAAAATCTGTAAATAACATTCCAACTTCCTCAAAAGTAAGGCGGGCACGATGGTATACACATAATCTCAGCTTCTAATCAGGTCATGACAAATTATTCCAAGATGCTGTAGTAGTTTGTAATCATTTTGGTGAATGTTTAATTAATACATAAAAACAAAAACAATGGCTGTGGATGAACATCAGTGCAAAATGTTTCCCTAGCATGCATAAGGCCCTGCATTCAATCCTAGTACAAGAAAAACAATTACATATGGAGTGCCCTGTGATGTCTCTGCATGTGCCTCATTTAGCCAATCTTTTTTTTTAAAAAAGTACTAGGGATTGAACTTTGGTCTTTGCTTTGAGCTATGGCCCCAGTCATTTTTATTTTGTGACAGTTACTAGCTAAGTTACTAAATTGCCCAGGCTAGACTTGAATTTGTGATACTCCTCAGCCTTCCAGAGTGCTGGGATTATAGATGCCTGTCACCACAACACTGACTCATTTTTATTTTTATTTTTTTGGTACCGCGGATCAAACTTACAACCTCCTGCTTGCCAGGCAGGCACTTATGCCACTGGGCTAAATTGCCAGTCCAACACTGGCTCATTTTTTAAATTTACACTCTAATGTTACGTTAACAACAGTGCTTTTATTTTATAAATTTTACATTTGTTGTACATATTGAAAGGAATGGAAAGTCATCTATTTTTCTTTGACATTTTCTGTGAAAAGTGTCTACATCCTAATACATTCTCTGGTAGTACAGTTGTGTTTACAATAAGCATTGGGACATAAAACTGAGAACAGATTTTTATAAAGTACAGGGTGAAGACCATTGCCAAAGACTAATTTTCAAGAACCCGGTATTTTCCATGGCAAGGTAGACAGTGCAGTCATTTATCACTGTTCACTTTAGTCTGATCATCTGGAGGCACTTGTTAGGACCCTCAGCAAGACCCAATCCATCTGGGATGCTGCCCACTTTGGAAACAAATCTTAGCAGAATATCATCTGGATTTCTTTAGAACTTTCCTTGTAGAGTGTCCTTGTGATCTTTCCTTCTGGAATCTGGACACAGTAATCAGAATCACTTATTTCAGGAATGCACAAAGTTTTTTCCATTTCTTGGTAGTTTATTTTTTACACATCACCTGGAGTCCAAAGGCTCTGTATTTTATTTTAAATACTTTTTGCACACAAAGTGTAAGCAAGCGGGCTGGGGATTTAGCTCGGTGGCATAAGCACCTGCCTTGCAAGCAGGTGGTCGTGAGTTTGATCCCTGGTGTGTGTGGGGAGGGCATTAAAAAAAAGTGTAAGCAAGCAAGCAGGTACTGTGAAGATGCAGGTCATTCTACGGTTACGAGTGAGTAACTGTTTACAAAAAACAGTAATTCTGGCAAACCTGCTACTTTTACCTAGGAAAGATGTTTTTCACAGAATGACTTGGATTTATACTTAAAAAGTCACTAATTTTCTCAAAACAACAACTACACTTTAGCATTTATAATGAATTCTGTTGAATTTTCTGCTGTTACATATGGATTATTTCCAAGCACTGACACAGACAATCAGAACAGAAGTAACCAATCTTAGACATGTTCAGTGTAGAAATAATAGGATCTACTGCAAGCTGGCCCACATTTCCAAAACATACTGCTGACAGTAGCAGGGTTCAGCCCAAGAGGCCAGGCACAGCTCCTTCTCTGAAAAACACGAACGTGGCTGTGGTGGGCAGGAGGCAGTAGCATAGGGAGGTGGGGGACAAGGCTTTGGGGAGGGCACCTAAGCCAGTGCCAAGTCTGTGCCCTGGTCAGGCTGGGTTCCCACGAGGCCCTAGGCACCTCCTGCAGGCCCCCTACATGTGTGGCCTCACACTACAATGCTTTTGAAAAAGAAACATGGTGCTATAGAAAATGCGCATCTCAGAGGCTTATAAAATTAAAGTCTTTGTTTTTTTAATTTGTTTTTTGAGACAGGGTCTCACTACATATTATAGGCTGGGCTGCAACTCAAGGCAAAGCTCCTGTCTCAGCCATCCAAGTTCTGGGGTTACGGGTATGTGTCACCAAGCCTGGGCTAAAAGCAAGTGATGGGCTAATGATCAAAATGTTTATATTTAAAAAGTGGATTAGGGGCTGGGGATTTAGCTCAGCGGCATAAGCGCCTGCTTGCAAGCAGGCAGTCGTGAGTTCGATCCCCCGTACCAATAAAAAGGAAAAAGACCAAAAAAAAAAAAAAAAAAAAAAAAAAAGAAAGGTGGATTAAAAGCCGTGTGTGGTGGGGTACATGCCTATAATCCCAGCACCCTGGGAGTTGGAGGCAGAAGATTTAAAATTCAAGTCCCATCTGAGCAACTTAAGTGTGTGTGTGTGTGTGTGTGTGTGTGTATAAAGAGACAGATGGACTGGTCAAAAAGAGGAAAATGCACGAATAACTTCTGATAGTTCCATTATTCCTAATGAGAAGGGGAAAAATAAAAAAAACAAAACAACAACAAAACGAATTCTATTTGCCAGAATAACATTCACTTATACACAGGGGCTGGGGATATAGATCAGTGGTAAAAGTGCCTGCCTGGTAAGCGCAAGGTCCTGAGTTTGATTCCTGGTACAAAAAAAAAGAAAAAAAGTCCAATAAAATAAAATTCACTTATACAAAAAAAAAAAACAAAAAAAAAACAAATCTAGAGCTATAGGGCTCAGAGAAAATGAGATTGTGTCTAGTGACTTTATTCTAATAATACAGATGACAGGGTAGAGATATATAGAACTTGAATGTATTGCTGGAGGTCTGCACATTTTCTCAATGTCAAGTCTGCTGAGATCGTGAAATCAGTTGAAGAGGGCAGGAACACTATGGTGACACCATGTTCCCACTACTGTGGCTGAAACAAATTTCTAAATTTTGCTATTATGGTAATAGTTGGAAGACCATGGCTTAGCCCACTGGACTCTCAGAGGTGCTAAAGTCCTTATAAGAAGTGATACTTCCATATGTAGAAGATAGGGTCCTTTCAGGTTTCTTGTACTCCTCCTAAGTATCATGCCAGTGGTGACATTTCATGAATGATTTCTGTGGAGAAAATACTGGTACTTGAAAATCTTTAAAGTAGTAATTTTATTATTGCAGAGCTCACCTGTAGCCTTTAGCCTGGGTTTGGGCATTTTCTTTTCTTTTCGCTCAGGTTTGGACTTCTTAACCATCTTTTTGTTTTTCTTTTTTGAACTGCCATAGTCACTATCATCATCATCTTCCATTAGGAAATCTTCATCACTGCCGGAATCTTCTGAGAAGAAAGAAGAATTTCTTTTGTTTTTTTTTTTTTGGCAGTACCGGGGACTGAACTCGTAGCCACACGCTTGCAAGGCAGGCGCTTATGCCGCTGAGCTAAATCTCCAGCCCCAGAAAGAAGAATTTCAATGTCCAACTTAATGTAGACATCCTTCCAAGTGAACAAAGGCAAAGACTGCTAAGAATGACTCAAGGATGAGATTTGGGAGTCAAACATGCTGGATTCTATGTGTAGTTGCACTACCAATGTGGCTGGAATGGTCATTGCGCTATCTGTAAAATGGGTTTGGCAAACACCTCACATGAAGGTCACATGACTGACTTGTTTGAAGAATCAGTACTGATTGACAGCAGGCAAAAACTAAACTGCAATTTAACTTTTGGTCCAATTTCGAATAAATGAAATGATAACTACAGAATACATATAACTGACCCAAATAATCTCTGAAATATCTAAAATTTGAAACTGTCATGGTTTTTGGTTTGTTTATTTTTTCTTTTGGTGGGGAGAAAAGAGATCTATATCTCTGAGAGGCTAAAATACAAGCCTCAGTCACCATGTGTAACTTAAATCTAATACTTACTTATTTAGTGCTTGTCTTTTTTTTTTTTTTTGGAATCAAATTTAGGACTTTGCTCTTGCCAAGCAGGTGCTTGTGCCACTGAGCTATACCCCAGCCCTCATTTAGTATTTGAATACCATGTATTTAAAAAGTACAATCATTAGCTGGGCATGGTGGCGCACTCCTGTAATCCTAGCAAGCAAGAGGTTGAGGCAGGAAGATCATCGCAAATTTGAGATCATCCTGGGCTACAAAGTGAGCTCAAGGTCAACCTGAACTGCATAGCAAAACCCTGTCTCAAAAAGACAAAAATAAATAAATTAAAGCCCTAAACTACAATCACTGGCCAGCTTCACGTACTCTCTGGGAATGGTGCCTCGTCCTCTTCCTCTTGTTCTTCCTCACTACCTGCATCTTCCATCAGCATCTCTCTCTGTTTGGAAGCTGCTTTAGATGCTGCCTGCCGCTGCTGGCGCACATTTTTATGATCATCTTTTTCATCTTCACTGTCCTCTGTAATATAAGTTTCAAAAAACTGGTTAAAAGTTTCATGATGCAATGAATGAATACCTAAAAAAGCCAACATCATGATGTATGTAGGATATAACCTGCAACTTTCACTGTATGACAGTAAATTCTATCCTTAAAAATTCCTACAACATTCACAAAGGGGAAACTAAAGTTCACTGAAAAGAAATGAATGGTTCTATATACCCATGACATACACATAAAAATAACTTAGACATTTCATTTTAAGGAATAATACAAATCAGACACACATATATAAACACTGTATTATCTCACTAGTGTGAGAAGCTGAAAGAAATAATGTAAGTACATGTATGCGTATATATACAATATGCAATGTATATACCATTATTACGCCCTAAAAAGACTAAGGAATAATGAAGCTGATTTAAGGTATGACCATCTGCTTCCTATAACATACTTTAAATTTTTATCATTGGTTTCCCTAAAATTCTCAATTATATTCAAATTCAAGTTCACTGCTTTTAGAAGCTAAAGTCAGAAAAACCATTACTATAACTCTAGCACTCTGGGAAACTGAGGCAGGAAGATTGTAATGCAAGTTCAAGCTTAACCTAGGAAACTTAGCAAGACCCAAGGGGCATGGGGGGGAGGGGGAATGTGTGAAAGCCTTAGGTTCAGTGCCCAGTATCACTGAACAAACACATGCCCTTTACAATGAACAGGGTAAAGAGAATTTTAATTCTCTTTTCAACTTAAAGTAGATAGAGAGGGGCTGGGGATTTAGCTCAGCGGCATAAGCACCTGCCTTGCAAGCAGGCGGTCGTGAGTTGGATCCCCAGTACAGATAAAAAGTTAAAAAAAAAAAGTAGAGTGGATAGAGAGAAACCTTTAAAATATACATTTAGATAAATTATCTAAGGTTCTCTGGACGAGCTTATAAAAATTACTTTCAGGGCCAGACATACAACTCAGTGGTAGAGCACCTGCTCAGCATGTATGATGTCCTGGATTATATTCGCAGTACCCACTAAAAAACTTAATAGAATAAACTGATTGTGAGGGGCTGGGGATTTAGCTCAGTGGCATAAGCACCTGTCTTGCAAGAAGGCAGTCATGAGTTCAAGCCCTGGTACCGGTAAAAAAGAAAAAGACAAAAAATAAACTGATTGTGAGGGCTCTCTCTCCTGTAATCCCAGCACTCCGGAGATGTAGCCATGAGTTCAAGGCCAGCCTCCACTACACAGTAAATTCAAGGCAAACCTGAATTACATTGTGAAATGCTGTTTCAAAAAACAAAAACAAAACTAACAAAAAAACCCCAAACCTGGCATGGTGGTCCATGCCTGTAATTCCAGCATTCTGGGAGGCTAAGGAAGGAAGATAAGATAGAGTTTGAGGTCAGCCTAGGCAATTTAGCAAGAACTTGTCTTAAAATTTAAAAAATGACTGTGGGGATATAGCTCAGATTGAAGGTCCTAGGTGTAATCTCTAGTGTCACAACAAACAAATGAAATTTTCACACAGGATTAATTTTTAAAGTTTTTCAACACAGAGTTGTGTTTTTTAATTAATCTGTCAGCCTACTGGCTCTAGACAAGGCTATATTTGTAATATAGCCTAATATAGCTCTACCTACAGTCTTGAACTTTTGGTTCCCTCATTCTATTAAGGTTTAGCTATCATTCTTCTGAAAACATTCCTGAATCGCTTCCTGGCCTTTTGGCTAAGATCATGGGCGAAAACACTCCTAATTCTATGATCCTCTCCATGTCCAGTATTCAAGTGATCTCTTTCACTGCCAAATCTCATCTGAGGCAAATGGACACTTACAGCCAACTTAGGTGGACTTTACACTAAACCTACAAGTAGGAGATGTACTGATACTAAGTTGGTTGTATATCTTGAAGTGCCAAAATAATCTATTTTTTAAAATTCAAATTAGGGTTTTCAAGGCAAATGAATGAAAGTATATATTACATTATCAATATCACAAGTTCACTAAATAATTAAAAGGTCAATATAATTTATTTTCATTGTGAACAGCTAAATAAGAAGTTAAACAATTAAATAGAAAGGCAAAATAGCTCAGTATAGGCTAGAATTTAGTGCTACACATTAATCAAATAGTCTCGTAGAGCAGAGATCTAGGAAGACTTAGGTCAAAAATGAAGTGGCTAGGAGTAATAAATAAAATTCTCCACTGTATGTGTATGTATGTCTTTTTGAGACCAGGTCTTGCTATGTTGCTCAGGTTGGCCTTGAGATCACTTTGAAAACTAGGCTGCTCTTCAATTCACAATAATCCTCCTGCCTCAGCCTCCCAAGTACGTGTACCACCATGCCAGTCAAATTCTCAGTTCTTTGGGGCTGGGGGTTTAGCTCAGCGGCATAAGCGCCTGCCTTGCAAGCAGGCAGTCGTGGGTTCGATCCCTGGTACCGATAAAAACGAAAAAAGACCAAAAAAAAAAAAACTTAAAAAAAAAGATAAATTTAAAAACAAATATCATCAGTAAGTAATTGGGATTGAACAAGGTATTGGTCCAGTAATATGCATTAATTCTTTCAAGTTAAAATACTTGGGAAAGGGCTGGGGATTTAGCTCAGCAGCATAAGTGCCTGCCTTGGAAGCAGGCAGTTGTGAATTCGATCCCCGGTACCAATAAAAAAAAAAAAAAATATTTGCACATCCATGACAATGTTGAAAATTGTCTAATATTATAAATACTTTGGGGCTGGGGATTTAGGTCAGCGGCATAAGCGCCTGCCTTGCAAGCAGGCAGCCGTGGGTTCGATCTCTGGTACCGATAAAAAGGAAAAAGACAAAAAAAAAAAAAAAAACTTGGGAAAAATCTTTATCAGTGGCTGTTTTAAAACTCTTTCTCAACTAAAAAAAGTGGGACTGAACTTTCTTTTTTGCTTTTCAACCCAGAGTTGATTACTCCTTTTTTCAGACCTGTTTTCACCCACACACATATGTGCACAAGACACACAGACAACCCCTCTCACAGTTAGTTTGATGCCTATTACCCATGTCAATGCTCTTTTGATCTTCAATCTTAAGCAGGCATGAAAACAATCTGAGGGTACTTAAAACAAACAAACCCTCAACATCCTGTCTAGACCTACTGAATAAGAAATCTTAGGGTAGGGCTCAGAATATTTTGTAAGAAGTCACCAAGACTGAAATCACTGTTTTCTTTTTGAAGATGTAAGTACCTTTGCAATCCCAATATTTGCACAGTGTGGATACAAAATTGCTTTTTAATATGTCTCATGTGTAAATATATACATAGATACATAGATTTGTACCTGTCATATTAAAAATAGGTTACTACCTGCTGAATGAGAATCATCCTTCTTGGTCTTCACATCTTTTTCTTCTGAGTCCTCACTATAAGCCAAAGGGGAAAAACAAAATGCTTAAAAGTCTGAGATCAAAGTATAGATGAAGATGAATCTGATTATCTGACTTAAGAACACCAAAAAAATACCTCTTCTATATATAAAATGTTCTAAGAGATTTTAAGAAGTGAAACTGCTTCCATTATTGGCTCACTTTACAGGGCTGCAGGTGAATAAAAATAATTCTATCTATGTGAAAAACAAATTGCAAAGGAAAATAGGTATCTCAATATCGGCCTATTTATAAGTTTTAATAAGAAAAATATCTTCTATAGAGGGATAGGGATAAAATTACTAAAATATATCACTTTAATTATTTCCTATTAATCATTTATTAATAAATTTTATTTCTGATATGAGTGAACTTGAGACTACTCTGCAGAATGAACTAAAGGAGCTTCAAAGTTCAATGGGAATTTTCTAAAATAACGTATAACCATACATGTATTATGTCCTCAGCTAGTCCTAACTTGGGAATCTGGGTTCTCGTGTCCCACCTTTGTCACTAACTGTTGTATGATCTCAGGCAAATCACTGGGACTCTTCTGTGTTAATATCTTATGATTTTAAGAATTTCTGACAACATTCATTTATTAAAAACCACCTTCACAGCTTTCCATTCTTATACAGGTCATAAATTACTTTTGAAATTCTACTAGTGATTGATTAAGAGGCCACTTTTATACTTAACCTGCCCCCCAGAGCAGAGAGGCAGTGTAAGACATGCAGACCATCCAAGGGGAAGCCAGTACTGTACCTCCCAAGTGTCCCCAAAGTCCACCACACAGATCAGAAACTTCAGAGTGGGGAGAATAACCAGTACAGAAACACTGACTCTCACCTGTCTTCCTGTGAGTTCTTTCCAGACCGCCTCTTATTTTTAGCTTCTCTAGGAGATGACCGGATTTTCTTAGTGGGAGGACCTGAATCTCTTCCATAATCTTCATCTAAACAGAGCATTTTTCAATTTAACTATACTATGATATTTACACGTTAGAGCCACATATTTATAACTTATCCAACCATTTAGTAATTGATGAAGCTCCACACCACATATTTACTGACATTAATTACCTTGCCCTATTTAAGTGGTTAGCAGAACAGAATTCCCCAAATGGTTTCTTTCATTTTAAAAAATTTTCTACTTGTCTCACAATTTTGACTCCATTTATGCTATTACCTCCTTGTTCTCACCCAAATATCAATACCTTTGTATTTATCTGAAGATTATTGAAGTAATATCGTATATTACATGCATTTTAGAAAATAAAAACCTAGTCCTACATCCTAAAACAATTACTGTCATCAAACAAATTGCTTTTAAACCAATGTGTTAAATCCACCTTATATATCCTGGATACTCAGGTAGCTCAGGAAAATACCTCCAATTCAAAATTCCTATAAAATTTAACAAGATTATTCTGTTAAAAGTATGGCCCAAATTGTGTACTATACCATCACACACAATGGTAAGAAGCTGGAAGTGCTCTGGAACTTCAGCAATTACTAAATGGTTGGCTAAGTTATAAATATGAAAAAAAATAACCATTACTAGGAATTTTTAAAATGATCTTTAATAACATGAGAAAGAGACCTGCAAGTAAGTAGAAGAAAGATAAGAATAGAACCGAAAACTCTGGAGGAAGACCTCAACTACATTTTTTTTGTTTTTGAAAAAAGATTTTACATGTAGTTCTGGTAGGCTTTGAATTCACATTGTAGTCTAGGCTAGCCTCAAATTCTGATACTGAGGCACTGCTGTAATAGACTTTTTTTTTTTTTTTTTTGGGAGTCAGGGTTTTACTATGTTGCCCAGCTTGGTTTCCAACTCCTAGGCAAGTGATTCTCCTGCGTCTGCCTCCCAAGTACTGAGATTATAGGTGTGAACAACCATATTTGGCTTCAACTATTTTTTTTTTAAAGCTAAAAAGGTGAGAGACTAGGAGTCAATCAAAAGGGTAAAATATAGCTATGTTAGCCAGGAGACCTTGAATGTGATCTTTGCCTCCATTTCCATAAATTTAAATTGAGAATACATTTCATAATAACAGGACTGTTCTAAGGAATAAATTACTAAACATGAACATTTAGAATAATTCCTAGTTAGAAATGTTTCCAGAATTGAAAAAAAAAAGAATAATTCCTAGCATGCAAAGCAATAATTTATCTAGTGTTAACTCTAGGATACAGGGTTATGTAGCAATTTTACTTTTCCATATTACTTTCTGTGTTTTCTAAGTTTGCTCAAAGGGCACATACTAACCTTTATAAACTTGTATTTGAAATAAAAGGATAGGAAAGGTAAGCAGGAAAAAGTAAATGCATCCACAAAATAATGAGTTTTAAAGACACAACTCTAAAGAAATCTTTTATGGTTAAGATTTTAAGACAACATTCATTCTATGTGAATTAGTTCATAAATCAAAGTAGATGCATAGAATTCTCATCTTACTTTATTATGTAAAAACCTTAGGCCCTGCCCAGCATCACACAAGGTACAGGTTTTATTATGGTAAAACTCAGTTCATAAACTTAATGTGTCCAGCCTGGCCTCACTGGGCAAGTGATCCTTCTGCCTCAGCCTCTAGAATGACTGCAGTTATAGGTATGTACTACTGTGCCTGGCAAGCAGAAGACATTTTAAGTAACAGACACTGGACATTTAACTTTTGGATTCTAAAACTATGAAAAAATTATTCAATTTATTATCAATGATTTACAAAAAAAAAAACCTCCACTAAAACCAATGCAAGTTCAACTTTTATTTTGGTTGGCACATAATTTGGATAAATACTGTAAAAATAAAAAATAACTCTTATTCCAAAATCATAAAAAGTACAAAAACAGGCAGTTCTTCACCAGTCAGTCCAATGAACAATTTGTTGAAATCACAGAACATACCTGCATCATCAGACTCCTGAAATTGTGAATAATCAACGACCTTCCTATTTCTGTAGAAAGAAGGGACTAATTAAGATCATAAAAATGCAAGGCTGTTCTACAATATCAAAACACATATTAACTTCATAAACAGAATTAAAATAGCTCTTTAAAGGTAATGATAATTACTATTATTTTGGTTTTCTGAGACAGAATGTCCTTATGTAGTTCAGGCTGGGCCTCAAATTTGCTGCGATCCGCCTGCATCAGCCTCCCAGGTACTGAGGTCACAAGGTATGTGCCATTTTGCCCAGCTGAAAAGTACCTTTAACAGTCCCTATATTTCAGCTCAATTACTTTACATTTTGTCACAGCAAAGTGCAGCTCTTCAACTAAAAGGTATCAAACTACACTTCTCATGCTGCTCATCTTAGTGACAGCTCAAATATCATTCTTCCCCACAAAACCAGCTCCCATAACATTTGGAGTAAGTCAAGTGAGCCAATTCACCACATATACTCATTAGCTTATCACAGAGATAAGGGCCAAGGTTGTAAGTGTTCTTTATTCTTATTGTTATATATATGAGTATAGATACTTGATAAAATTATTGCTAAGCCTCCCCAAAGCAAAAGCAATTTTTAACTACAATAAGTTACATTATAATGCACAAAAATTATGGTAACACTAAAATAAACCTGACATGCAAGAGCAAAGAAAATAACTGGTCAGATCAAAAGATGCTTTCTGTATTCGGTGGTAGCACTGGAGGTTAAACCCAGGGAGCACTGTGTTACACCCTCACCCTTTTTTGAGAGAGTCCTGCTAAATTGCCTAGGCTAACAAATTTAGGATTATATTGCCTAAGACTCCTGAGTACCTAGAATTACAGGTATACCTCATTGCACCAGGCGAAGATTCTTTTTATTAAAGGGTATGTAATTTTTCAAAACTATGAAAGGCTCAAATTAATGTATTTACTTGCCTCTAAATGATTTTAAGTACTTCTAACCAGGTAAGATATCTTTTAACACCAGAAACTAATTTTATTTTCCATTTTCCTACTTTGTATTTTGAAAGGTTGAAATTCCTTCTTTAGAGATGTAACAAATTTCCACGTTAGAACTTACACTAGCGTGCAGAAAAGCTTTACATAAAAGATGCACAACCGAAGACCCAACTAGATATAAGCAAACCACAGGTTAGGATAAATGTATGCCGCCAATGACACTTCAACCAGAAGAGAGGAATATTCCTGGCTTATAGTTTAAGACATCACTTAAAGATGTGTGCTACACTATGTAAAGCACGGGGTGAAATCTGAAAATGTACTCTAGACTCAGATGTAGACAAAGGTTTTATCACATCCTCAGTCTTAGGAAAAGAGAAAGAAAAATGTTCTTAAACAATTTTGCCTGTTTTTCTTTGTTTGACCAAAACTATGAAATATGCTCTAATTAAATAAAATGCTATTTGTATTGTGGAAGATTTCATGCTGATAGAGAAGTTTAAAAATACAATTAATTCCACTCACATAAGGGACCTAGCAGTCAAATTCAGGGACAGAAAATAAAATGACAGTTGCTGGAAACCAGAAAAGGGAGCAAAAGGAATTTTTTTCAGTTTTGCAAGATGAAGACTCCTGGAGATTCATTGTACAACAATGTGTCTGTACTTAACACTATTAAACCACACAATTAAAAGTGAGATGGTGAATTTCATGTTCACAGTACAACAGCACCATAAAACTTCTTCGTAAAAAAGAGTTATATTTAAAAGCTAGTATTTTGCCAGCCATAGTGATGCATGTCTGTAAATTGAACACTCAGGAGGCTGAAGCAGGATCATGAGTTTGAGGCCAACCAGGGCTACATTGCTAGTTCAAGGCTAGATTGGATTACAGTAAGATCTTGGCAATAAATAATCAATAAAAAATCAGTATTTTCAGCTTAGTATGAAAACATGTACCATATTCATGTGTGTGTGTGTGTGTGCGCATGGTAATGAAGATCAAATCCTGCCATGCTCTATCACTGAGCTGTTTCTATATCCCCTGGCCTTTTTATTTTTGAGTCTCCTTAAACTGTCCAGTCTGGTCTTGAATTTGTGATCTTTCTGCTTCTCCTAATGAACTGCTGGGGTGATAGGTGTGCACTGCTGCAAATGGTTAAGAGTGATTTCTAGTGATAAATGCCAGGAAAAATCAGAACATGGTCATGATGTAGACCCATTTTTTGGATTATTAGGGCTCAAGTAAACAAGACATGGAATGAAAGGAAACTCTTTGAAAGAGGGACCCTTTTTTTCTTCAAATTTAGCAAGATTCTGAAATAGACTGACATTTAAGTTTTGCAGTGTTGGGGATTGAATTGAATCCAGGGCTTCTCACCCATAAGCCAAGTGTTCTTCCCACTGAGCCACACCCTCAGGACCTAAAGCAGGGAGTTCTGAATCTTAATTCCTAAATGAGTACAGGTTCCAAATTTGTAAGTATAGATAGATCTAGCTTACTCTGTGCTTGTAATGAGGCAACTAAAATATTATCATTCAATCCGGGGTGCCACATAACAAGCAATACCCTATGAAGCCATACACAGGATGGATACCAGAATGAGGAACGATGGATTCGCATGAAGAACTGGGTAAATTGAGAATGTTTACTTTGCAAAGGGACAGCGTATTAGGCATCTCAAAGCTTTGCCATGACAGCAGTAAGGTACTTGTTTATTATTAGCTTTACCAGCAAGATTAAGTGCAGATCCAACATAAAGCACTGTCTAACTCAATAACTTTGCTGATTAATGGTTGCTTCTTTAGGCTATTTATATGAAGACTCCGAAGCTGTTACACAGAAAACACAACAAAACGAAACGGAATGAAATGAAACAACCCATTCCCTGTACATGAATCTTAGTAGGAATTCTGGGCTGGCTTCTAGAACTTCAAGCAAATCACTTAATTTTTCTGGGCTTCAGTTCCTTTTCTGTTAAAACTGATGATTTAAGTTGCTTGACAGTCTAGGAATTCTGATCTGCCACTATAACTTCAAGTTAGTCATTTAATTTTTCTGGGCTTTAGTTCATTTTCAGTTAAAACTGATTTAAGTTATTTAACAGATCTAAAAAGATAGTCTAAAAAACTAAATCCACTGTAGCCAGGCAACTCTTCAAGAACCTGTTTCATCCCGGCACTTGAGAGGCTGAGGCAGGACTGGGCTACAGAGCAGTTTCTTTCTTTCTTTTTTTTTTTTTTTTCTTTTTCATTTTTATCAGTACCAGGGATCGAACTCACATGCCACTGAGCTAAATCCCCAGCCCATACAGAGCAATTTCAAGGCCAGTCTAAAACTGTGTGCTGAAACCCTGTCTCAAAAAAACAAACAACAGTTTCAAAATAAGAAAAAAGGACTGGGTGCTAGGAATGGTGCCACACATTTGCGATTCCAGCACTGTAGGAAGCTGAGACAGGAGAATCCCAAATCTGATCCCAGTCTGTGCTACTTAGCCAGATCTATTTTAAAATAGAAAATAATAAAGGGCTGGGGGTAGGTATATAGTTCAGCACAAAGGACCTGGATTCAATCCCTAACACCTCAAAATAAACAAAATTTTAAAAAACTGACTAAACAAAATAGATTTTCCCTATTGTAAACAGTTGAATACCCAGTATCACATATGCTGGGGCAGGTAGCATTTGTTTTACTTATCTGAGCTTGAAAATAACAACTGTGCTAGGTGGTAAACATTTTCAAAACTATTTACTGTGGCTCAAATTTGAGAGCTCTGTTAGCTTTTCTACTTCATGGGATAACATCCCATCTCTTTAACCCTTTAAAATTTCATCTCTTGACACTTAACAACTAAGTAATACAGGAATTTGCAACCCCTCCAGCTGTTTGTTGCTCCTGCTGTGCCTTGCTAGAAGGCTGTGCCATTCCCGAACAATTCTACTTCCTTTCGATGCCCCTGATCTTTCATTGATACTGGATAATTCACCAAACTCCTGTCTGTCCTACTCAGTTGTTCATGCCCATGTTTCTTTCTTTCTTTCTTTTTTTCTTTTTTTGGTATCAGGGATTGAACTCATGACCTCATGCTTGCTAGGCAGGCACATGTGCCACTGAACTAAACCCCGGCCCCAGATTGTTCCTTCTTCATTAGAACACTACACTTAGGAAACGTGCTTGCTGAGTAAATAGACTCAGCATCTAAGGAGAGGATTAGAGCAAGAAAAGCATTTAGTAAAGGAGAGGTCTGTAAGACTATGAGTTTATCACACATTTACTCATAATTGCCAATGATAACTTGTTTCCTTCAAGTAACTCGTTAGTTTGAGACAGGATCTCATCATGTATTTCAGGCTGGACTCAAACTTGCAGAGATCCCCCTGCCTCAGCCTTCTGAGTACTGGGATTATGCGTGTGTATTACCACATCTAGCATTTGCTTTTACTTTAAAAGCTATTATAATTTTTTTCTAGTCACTAACCATAACAAGGGGCTAGGGAGATGGCTTGTTGGATAGAGCATAGGTTTAGCAAACCCTGGAGTTCAACCCCAGCACCAAAACAAGTGGGGCAAAAAAGTAATCTGGGGGCTGGGAATTCTGCTTAGCGGCATAAGTGCCTGCCTGGCAAGCATGAAATCATGAGTTTGATCCTCAATACAAAACAAATGAACAAAACAAAATACCAATTTGGTCACAATGAACCAACTCTCAAATGATCTCCATAGGGTCTTGAGATGTGAAGGCTCCAAATGTTATCTATTTAAAGTAAGTGAAAAATAAGAAAACTAGACAAAGAATACTGGTTTGGCATCAGGTTGTAGAAAACTCAAAATAGGGTGGGCATGGTGGCACACTCCTGGAATCCCACCCTCAAATCCCAAATTTGAGGTCAACCTGGACTACAAAGTGAGTTTAAGGCTAGCCTGAATTGCATAATGAAACTCTGTCTCAAAGAGACAAAAAAACTAAACCAAACCAAATCAAAACAAAACCAAAAAACAAAACAAAACAAAACAAACAAAAAAAAACAGAACAAATAGAAACTATCCCCTTCAAGACAACTT